TGTGAAATGATGCTTGAATTTTCAAATACTCCTGATAACCATTAGCTCTTGCATATACTAATTACAATGAAATTAAAAACTTGCAAGTAATATTTCTGCAGTTTAGATGCTTTGGCTCAAAGGAATTATTCCAGAATAAGCTGGCAGGCTCCTGCTTGGGGAATTAGGATTCCAATGTCCTTAACTTTAAAATAACTTGCATTTCATTTTATGCCTGTTTCATAAAGTAGTCATTCATTTTCATACTAAATTGTAACCAAAGCAAGCCACATCAATAGAGGCCAGTCACTGGGTTTACTGTGTATTAGGTTGGACAAAGTAAAATAGAATGTTAAAAATGATAGCCAGGTGGTTGGGTTTAAAAAGAAAAACCTTGCTACTGACTTATAAAGGAAATTGAAAAGTAATCTCCCTGAATCTTTATATCCATATCCTGGTACATAGTAGGCTCACCATAAGACATTGTTGAAGGAAGAATGAGTCCAGAATGGTGCATTATGTTTTGAAAATTCACGACATAAAGTGCTCTCTTTTTCATATCAACATGCTGCAATTGTAGTGGGATTTGTAGTAGAGATGTATATACTTTTTTGGCTTACATTTTCAGGCTCAACACTCAAGATGCAAGTTAGTGACTCCTGGAAAGTCAACTTAAAATTAGGGTATAGCGGGTGACAAGGGAGTGTAGACCATAACTATACCCATGGTCTACACTGAAGGCCTGAGACACAGCCATGAGATACCTTTGATATATTCTTTCCTTACCTTTTAGTTTTAAGTTTCTTTTTACAACAACTTTTAAAAAATATAAATAGCTAAAATTAGGCAACTACTAAAAGTGCATCTGAAAAATTATTTCTGAAATTTTTTTAAAGAAGATGCCATTTGTATAAGTTTCAACCATTTTTGTATTCCAGTATTCCCATCAATTCAAATTTTTTAAAACCTGTGTCTCTCTAATTTGCTTGTTCCCTTGAAATTAGCATCAAAAGCTTTTTAGAGCTTCAAGTCAGCATGGTACAAAAAGCTTTTTGATGATCACTTCCCTGATCAATTTTCCTCAACTGGGGTCTTTCCAAAAATGAGCAGAGTAATTGCAATTGCTCCTTTACTTTTCCTATTATTTATTTTCTTGTTTTGTTCATACATAAAAAGCAAAACAAAGTAAGTCATGTAAGTGAACGACCTTTTCCATAGGCACAGCTTTTGTTTCCCAGTAGAATGGAGTCATTTCCCCTTGACCAAGAGAAAGATTTATCCACCCGAATACATTTTTTTCTACCAGCCTCCCAGTTTGGTGCTGCTTGGATATTTAAAATTTGATGTACTCTTATCAAGATTTTAATAAATATAAGAATAAAATACCTGTGACAAAATTTTTAAAACGTAAATATGCAGTGTTACAAAATATTAAGACACAGTCAATCCATTGTGATAATCTGTGAAGATGTCCTGAACCACAAATCAGAAGACACATCTACCTAGATACGATTTAACTACAAGTTAGGTAATGCTTTTGGAGGCAGCTATAATGCTGTTCTTTTCACTCCAAAATGTCCTTCTCCCAAAGCCTTCTAAATCTAATTAGTGATTGTACCACCTCAAAAACACAAGATATGAGGAGACAAGGAATACAAGTTGCAGCTGGAACAGAAAGCCGGTGACGCCCTCTTTGATCCGTTAGTGTTAGGACAGAGTGTAGCACTTGTATGGTTAACTGCTGTCCTAAGCATTTAAGATGAAATGGAAATGGAGGAGGGAGAGTTTGAGGGAAAACTACAAAAGAAAGAGTGGAAGTTAGTATTGAAAGTGTACCAGACACAATAAAATACAAAATAACCACTACAGAAAATTAGTAGTATGGAGGAATATCTGTGGCAGATTTCTTATAAGCACAAGAAAAGGTCAACAAAATGAGATATATATAAGAGAAAATCATAGATGGATCAATGAAGAGACAATAGATGCAGAGAGAGGGAGCTCCAACCTCAGAATTATAAGCATTTATGAAACAAGAGCAGTAATCAAAATCATAGTCTGAGAGTAATCAGCAGCATTGTAAATAAAGACCTTGAGTACTCCATTCAAAAAGGCTCAACGTTTTCTGTAAAGACTGATGAAACACATGACTTGGATACAACCTGATTATAACTTAACTTTCATGTCAAATACTAACAAAAAAAAGAACTGTAAGCTTTCGGGCAGAAACATAAAGCACATGAGGAAAATAATAAAAATCAGATTTCTCCTCTGCAAGTCTAAATATCAGAGGTCAACGAAGTATGTTTACAGCTTTGAGGAAATAGTATCATGTATGAAGTAATAACATATCAAGCAGCATTGCCTTTCCTGTATGAAAAGCAAAGGTTTAATCACATGCCAGCCATATATCCAACCAATAAGTAATATTTAGCCCAGAGTTAAAAACTCATACGTGAAACATTCATATTATGAAAGGACTGGGATTTGTCTTACGCTTCTAAATATGCATTGTATCTATGGACAGAAATGAAAATCTAAAAATGTTTACCAAATAATTTTTATGTTATAGAAAAAAGAGTGGACTCAGAAATCCCAACTCTAGGTATTTACACAAGAGAAATGAAAAACTTTGTTAACATAAAACCTGTATATGAATGTTTATAGCACTTTTTCATACTTACCCAAAACTGAAAACAACTCAAATATCTAGCTGGTGAATGAATAAGCAAACGGTTGTATGTAGATGCAGTAGAATACCACTCAGCAATTTAAAAGGTGCGAACTATAGATACATGCAACCACAAGAATGATTTTCAAATATATTATGCTAAAAAGAGTCAGTCTCAAAAAGCTACATATGGTGTGATTCCATTTATGTGATATTTTGGAAAAGACAAATTATAGGGGCAGAAATCAGTGGCTGCCAGGAGCTGAGGGTAGAGGAAGAGGGTGACTGTACAGGGGAACCTGAGAGTATTTCTGGGGTGAAGGGCTGTTCCAAATATTGGTTGTGGTAGTGGTTACGCAACTGTATGAGTTTGTCAAAACTCTTAAGTTGTATACATCCCAAAGTCCACTTTTAAGGAGGGAAAAAGAGAAGCAATGAAATCACAAAAGGTAATATTGACATAGCAATGTGAACATAGTTAAACACTGAACCACATACTTAAAAGTGGTTAGGAAGGTAAATATTATGTGTATTTTGTCACAATTTAAAAATTTTTAAATTTAAAGCTACAAAAATAATATTCATATAATGGACTATTAAGTAATTAAAATAATTTTTCCAAAGAATATCAATGAAATGAGAAAATGCTTATAATGTTGGATTAAAACAAAAACTAGGAAGAATTAACAGTATGATTTTTAATCCTGTAAATGGCAGAAACCAAGGAAGATTAAATTACAAAATAATAAAGTTCTTGGTGACAGGATTTTGAATGACTGTCCATTTCTATACTTCTTGGCACATTACTGGTTTCCACTTATTCCTTTTGTAATCAAGAAAAATAGAAGCATCAGAAAGTACATGCAGTGAGTGTTACATTGCTGACTCTATCAGTCATTTCATATAGGCTCATATTTAATCCTTGTAGCAAAAAAAAAAAAAAAGACCTCCTATCCACTTTAAAATTATTTTTATTCCCATAGAAATAAATATTTTAGTAACAATTGAAATAGCATCTATTGACTTTTTGTTTGTTTGTTTTTATTTTTTTTAATTGCATTTTACGTTTTGGGGTACATGTGAAGAATATGCAAGATTGTTGCATAGGTACACACGTGGCAGTGTGATTTGCTGCCTTCCTCCCCTTCACCTATATCTATTGACTTTTAAATCAAAATGATTATTTAAGCCTGCATTTAGCTTTCCTTGTTCCAAATTTGCCATTGAATTGATCAGGAAAACGTAAAAGGAAAAATATGTAACCCCATTGAAAAATTGGAAATAGTGCCATGAATAGATCAGATATCTTTAAGGAGTTTATGTAAAATATAGACAAACAAGCACTGGACTGAGGAAAGTACCTATTGGATGGAATTCCAATCTCCCAAAGGAAAAGTCCACCTGGAAAATGAGTGGCAGGGTCCCAGAGCTTGTAGCTCTAGGGGAAGATAGGTTATGTAGTGGTCATCCATGGAAAATTCTCAAATTTGCCAATATTAGCCTCCCAAGAACGTTATTCCAACATGACTTTGTAGAATCCCGTTTGGTAAGGTCAGTGGTTGAAATAAAATAGGCCAGGCACGGGACTCATTGCTGTAATCCCAGCACTTTGGGAGGCCAAGGCGGGTGGATCACTTGAAGCCAGGAGTTTCAAACTACCCTGGCATAACATGGCGTAACCCCATCTCTACTAAAAATATAAAAATCAGCTGGGCATGGGGGCACATGCCCATAATCCCGGCTACTCTGGAGGTTGAGGCTAGAGAATCACTTGAACCTGGAAAGGGAAAGTTGCAGTGAGCCAAGATCTCACCATTGCAGTCCAGCCTGGGTGACAGAGCGAGACTCTCTCTCAAAAAAAAAGAAGCATTACTTCAAGCAAATTTCGAAGAGGCTGTTGCAGTAATTAAAGGAAGATAGTAAGTGCCCTGTTAACTTGAGTTGCTCCAGTAAGGAAAGAGAAATGTCCTAGTGGAGACATGCTCCACAAATGCTTCTGCATGTAGCTTTTCCCTTTTCCTCACAGAAAAGAAATATACATATTCACACATGAGACACATACATATAATACATTCATTGTAATGGTTATATGGACCTTTGGGTAAGAATTGCATGTTAGTACTACTATTAACTAAAGAATTCACTCTCTATTTAATGTGACACTTCCACAAGATGTTTTGGCCCTGATCCTTAAAAGTTAGTTTCTTAGAATTAAACTTTGAGTCTTTGGGGTATTGTGCACTAGTAAAAGTTTTACAGGGAACCAATGCCTTGTATTTGCTTCTTTTTTTAAATGCTTGCCTTTTCTATGAAATCATTATTTCTTATTTCTTATTTCTTTTTCCTTTAGGAATTGTGAAGGGCAGAACATTCGATACAAGACATGCAGCAATCATGTAAGTCCTAAAATAAAAACATTTAATCCAATACAGTATGTTCTTGTTTTAAGTTATGATATTCCAGTGTGTACTCTAACTCTAATGGTCTCTTGATACCCTTTGTGGAAAATTGAAATATTTCTTTAATTGACAACAGATTTTGTATATCAAATATCTTCCATTTATATATACTACGATATTAGGCCATATCACATTCATGATCTAATTTGGTAAGTATTTAATAATTTCTGAAGTCATAGAAACAGTATATACTATCTGTAAGCTCCTTCAAAGTTCAGAATGCTTTTATGTTCAGTATCTTACCTGACCGTTGCACTGTCCCTGAGCAGGTAAGGTGCACTTATTTCTCTTTTGCAAGTGAGAGGACAGGCTGAGGGAGGTAAAATAATTTTTCAAAGGTCTCAAAGGAAGAGTAGACTTGAACTGGTCTGTTGCTATTTCTACCATTCAGTGTTAAGGAATACTATCGATGATTCATCAGCAAGTCACACAGAAATATACAAAACCCTACTCTAATTCGATTATCAGTCAACACTAAAAATAAAAATTCAAATATCTTGCTTTAAAATTTTGAAAATAAGGCTGAGAGTGGTGGCTTATGCCTGTAAGCCCAGCACTTTGGGAGGCCAAGGCAGGTGGATCACTTGAGATTAGGAATTCAAGACCAACCTGGCCAACGTGATGAAACCCCATCTCTCCTAAAAACACAAAACTTAGCTGAACTTGGTGGTGCATGCCTGTAATCCCAGCTACTTGGGGGACTGAGGCAGGAGAATTGCTTGAACCCAGGAGACAGAGGTTGCAGTGAGCCAAGATTGCAGCACTGCACTCCAGCCTGGACAACAGAGTGAGCCTCTGTCTCAAAAAAAAAAAAAAAAACCCAAAAAATTAAAAATAAAAAATAAACACCAGAAAGAATCCATTCTATTTTCCACTCAAAACATTTCCTGGTTGTCAGTAAGAGGCTAACTAGAGGTACCTAGCGCTTGCTTCGTTATACACAAAAAGACCAAAATAGCAAACAACTACAGATAGACTACAGTGTCTGAGGGAGAGCCCTAGTAGCATAGCACGGGAATGGCAGTGTCCCTGTGGCACACAGTAAGTCAGGATGGCAGCATAGAGAAGAGAGTGAAGTACCCTGCCTCTGCTACACCATCTCCCCTGTCAGGTAAACAGGGAGCCCCCAGCAACCCCTATGACCACTACAGACACATGTAGTTCTTGCTACAGGAGGATCCAGCAGTCCTCACAGGCCCTGAGCCCAGCTTGGGGGAGCTGCCTGGAGTTTCCACAGCCGCATTGCTGAATGGGATAAAGCAAATGTAGTATATATACACCATGAAATACTATGCAGCCGTAAGAAGAAGGAAATCTTGCCATGTGTGACATGGATGAGTGCAGGGGGTGCTATATTAAGTGAAATAATTCAGACACAGACAAATACAACATGATCTCATTCATATATAGAATTTAAAAAAACCTTGATATCATAAAAATAGGCAATAGAACAGTGGTTACCAGAGGCTGGGGAGGGCAGGGGGCAGGTAGAGATTGGGAGAGGTTAGTCAAGAAAGTTACAATGAAGAAGGAAGTATAATTTTTGGTGTCCTATTGCACAGTAGAGTAACTATAATCAACAATAAAACACTATAATTTAGCCAGAAGAGAGGCTCTTGAATGTTCCCACCACAAAGAAATGATACATTTTTGAGGTGGTGAACATACTAATCATTAGATAATGTATACATGTATGGAAACATCACCGTTACATAATGTATACATGTATTGAAACATCACCTTGTCCCCCATAAATATTTACAATTTATGGAGCCCTAAAAAGTTGAAAGAAAACCGAAAAATGGGCTTAGCTGGCAGAATCAAAAATAGGGGGTAGAGAGGAACAAATGTTCTGAGAAATAGGGTCAACTACAAATGGCTCACTAGCACCTGAGCATCCTGTTGCAAGCATCCAACTCACAGCCTACCTGCACCAACCATCCTGTCTGCAAACATTCAGCCCAGGTAACACGACCTTATACAACTCGCTTCCAGTCTCAGCCTCTTTGCAGACAGTAGACAGCCTTCCCTCTGCTGCACTGACCATTGCTCCCTGGCAGTGTAGCCCCCATTTTCTTTAAATGAATCTGCCTTTCCAGACCCATCACTGTCTTGGTAAATTCCTTTATTTGACTATGTGTCGGCCCCAGACGGTCACTAACCATGACATTTTATGTGTTTATTAAAAATTTTAAAAACAGGTTTGCCTCATTGGTGCTATAGACCCAAATCAAAATGACAGGAATTAAAAGGAAATTCTGAGAATCTGGCGATCTCACTTAAATGAGATTTACTTATTTATTTTTATCCACTTTTCTCAATTGGCTGTAACTAATTTATTTTAAATGATCCATTAGTGGGGCCTTGTCTCTTTCTTCCTTCTCTGACCCAGGCCAGTGCAGTCTTGGATAAGGGTTTCTAATCTATGGATCAAGCTTTTTCTTGGCGGGTAGTCCCCGAAAGTTCTATGGGAGTAGAAAGCCAGCAGTCTTTAGCAACACCTTTTGACTGAGAGTTCAAACCATATTTGCAGTCCATTTCTATTAGCGATGAAGCTGACATTTCTGTCCGTATCTCTCCACTGGTTCCAAACTTGAGTGGGAAAAACAGATGCTTATTTACTGGGCACTCAAACTCCAATATCACTTAGCCAGAAGTAACCAGATTTTTTTTTTTTTTATCAACTGAGTCCTTGGAGGAATTTTGGAGCACTATGGAAATGGCTTCATATCTCTGGTGATTTGAATTGCAACACACTTGATCTTGAGCAACACATCTGCTTGTGAGAGCTCAATTAACTGAGCTGGAAATCCAGGTGGGGTATGTAGGAGGGAGAGAGACCTGAACACAAAGCGAAGCATGTCGATGCCGACATAGTCTAGCCTTCCTTTTAAACAAGCATGTGAGTACATTAACGACCTCAGAATTTTATCCATGAGGCTTTTAGATCTAGCGCCTTTTTCCTGGATGCATTAGTTGTTTTTATTGCTGCTGAAACACATTACTATAAACTTGCGGCTTAAAACAAGACAAGTGTATAATCTTACAGTTCTGAAGGTTGGAAGTCTGACACAGGTCTACAGGTCTTACTGGGCTAAAATGCAGGCCTACATCATTCTGGAGGCCTAGGGGAAAATTAATTTCATTTTTTCCCCAGCTTCTAGAGTCCACCCATGCTCCTTGGATCGTGATTCCTTCTTCAGTCTTCAAAGCCAGCAACATTGCATCTGTTTGAACATTTTTCTTTTTTCTTTTTTTTTTTTTTGAGACTCAGTCTCACTCTGTCACCCAAGTTGGAGTGCAGTGGCACAATCTCAGCTCACTGCAACTGCAACCTGTGCCTCCCAGTTTCAAGCGATTGTCCTGCCTCAGTCTCCCTATAGCTGGGATTACAGGCACACACCACCGTGCCCAGCTAATCTTTGTATCTTTAGTAGAGATGGGCTTTTACCATGTTAGCCAGGCTGGTCTCAAACTCCTGACCTCAAGTGATTCACCCATTTCGGGCTCCCAAGGTGCTGGGATTACAGGCATGAACCACTGTGCCCGGCCTGAACCTTCTTCTGTAGTCATATCTTCCTGTGACCACAGCTGGGCGTTGTTCTCCCACCTGGATAACCCTAGATAATTTCCCCATCTCAAGGTCTCTAACTTTAGTAATATGTGCAAAGATCCTTTTGCCATGTAAGGTAACACTGTCACAGGTTCTAGGGGTTAGGTCATGGCCATCTTGGGAGCCAGAGTGGTGCATTATTCTGCCCAATACGATGGGATAGCTAAAGTTTTCTTTGGTCCGACAATTTCCTTGTAGTCATTCAAGAACAAATTTTAAAATAGTGTGATTTCCAGCAGTAATTTGTGAAACTATTTAAGAAAATTCATTTTAAACCCCAGATCAAGGTGTTAAATTTGAGAATTTCATTCTAGAGTTTCTCTGTGTATGTATCACTCTGCTCTAGCTCATTCCAAAAATGAACCTATTATCAACAGAAGTGATAGAGTGTTATGCCACATAGCACAGACATAGAAGTAATCTAAAATTTGTACACGTTAGGTGCAATGGTTAGGACTTTGGTGTACTTGAGTGAAGATATGATGTCCCTGAAGCTCTCTGAGCCTAGGGTTACCTGTGGTCTCTAATTTATGACCCCTCTGGGAGAACACAGCAGAAATCTTTATCACCTCTAAACTGGTAAGAAATAGATGCTGGGGGTGGAGTAGGAAGGAGGAGGAGAAGGAAATGCTGTTCGTTTTTAGTTCTCAGACTTGGAATCGTTAGAGTCCTAAGAGAGGTTTCATAAGAAGATAGCATTGGTTGCTATGCTTGCCATTGCAAATTCAGAATTTCCAATGAAATTTCTTATTTGAGAAATAAGGGAAGGTTGTGGCAGTGGGAGTGTCCCGAGCATGCCTTTGTCTCCATGTGCCACAGTACTGCAGCTGTGCATGGCCAGGCTGTGTTGCAAACCAGAGGTGCATAAATGCAGCCCCAGCTCCAGTGTAGATAATCTGTAAAAGTCGATTCCTATACAGGAGAGATTATACAAGTATATTCCTGAATATACTACAGAAACATTGCAAACATATAAAGTGCCATAAGTGAATATAACCAGAGTGAACTTGGAGTATGAATGTAGTTACATCTTTTTCTCTGTATAAATATTTGAGCTGCTTCCTGCTTTATTAACTGGGGATTCAAAATATCCACCTCACCATGCACTCTAAAGAGCAGAACTCTGCAACCCACCCCACCTCCAGTGGAGAGAGGACTGAGTTCTGATGAGCATACACTTGCTGTTACTTCTCACTGCCATTCAGTGTCTTACTGAAGACTGGCCACACCAGTTAAGTGGTTAGAGGCTTTCATTTTACCTGGAAATGGGGATGGTCATTCACTTTCTTGAAGGACGTTGACTTCAGTGATTCTAAGATGAGCT